AATTTAATTATTTATTAATCATTAAAAGTTATTTTTAATTTTTTAATTAATTAATTAATAAATATAGCCTTTTTAATAACTTAAATTAAAATAAAAAGTTTAACTTTAATTATTAATATAATTATTATATTTTACTTATTAGCTTTTTATTTAATAACTTTTTTAAATAGCTTTATTATATAAGTTTATAAACTTTTATAATTAAAGGTATTATTAATAAATAAAAAGTTATTTATTATTATAAATTTATTTCTATTTTTAAATTATAATGCGTAGTTTTAGGTAATTTCGAAGTAGAATAATAATTAATTAATAGTGTTATAATATTTAAGCTTTAAATTTAAATTAAATTTTAATAGCTAAAATACCTTAAATATAATATTAAATTAAATAATTATAGCTTTATATATAATTAAACCTATTTTTTTTTATAATAATAAATCTTTTATTAAATAATTAATTTATTATAAGGATTAAATTCTTTTACCTTTATTAGGATATATATTTAAAGGATAAATTTATTTTTAAATTTAATAATTTTTTTAATATATAAGAATTAGGAAAGTTAAATTAGGCTTTTTATATAATTTTAAATTATTTTTATATTAAAGAACTATAATAGGTTTTTTTTATTAATTATTTAATAGCGGTATTTTAATTTTAAAATTACCTATTAAATAATAGCTTTTTTATTATATTTATAGGTTAAAATAATATTATTTATATATATAAAAATAAAAACCCTTTATTTAATATAATAATATAGCTTATAGGGAATAATTTAATAATTTATTAATTTTAAAGATTTAGTTAATTTTTATTATTAAAGAAGTAATAACTTTTAAAGTTTATATAATATTTAAAGTAATTATAAAAAGGTTTATAGCTTATAATAGTTTAAAGGTATTTATATATAGATTTTTTTATTTAACTTTATATTAATAAATATATTTATTATATTATATTATTTAAATTTAAGGTTAAATTTAGCTATAATAGCTATAAAGGTTTAAAATAATTTATTTATTAAGGTAAATATATAGGTATTTTTTTTTTATTAATTAATTATTAATCTTTTTAAATAATAAATCTAGCTTTATATTTTTAATAAAAGCTATATTTATTAAACTTATAAATATATACTTATATATAATTTAAAGTTAATTTTTTATAAATAATATATATATTAACTTTTTTTTAAGTATTTATATTTTTATAACTTTAAAGATATAACTTTTTAATTTATTTAAAGTATTTATTTATAGGGTAAATATTAAAATCTTTATATTACTTTAAAGGTAGAAGAAGGTTCTAATAATAGATTTTAAATTTGGTTTAAAATAGCCTTATTAGGTTTAATTTTTAAAGTACTAAAGTATTTTTAAAGGTATTTAAAGCTATACTTTAAAATAGATTTAAGTAAAGGTGTTTAAAACTATACTTTTAAAGGTATTTAAAGATATATTCCTATAAAAGATATAGGCCCTTTATTTTAATAGGATTTAATAATATTATTAAGGTAGTTTAAAAATCTTTTTAAAAATTTAGCTTTATTAACTTTATTTATTAATATATTATATTATAACTTTATAATTATTAAGCAATTTATATTAAATATAACCTTTTAATAACTTTTATATATTATAATTCCGAAAAAGGTTATATAAAAACTTCCTTTAAACTTTAAAATAGGATTAAATAATTTAATAATCTTTAAAAGATTTTTCCTTTAATTAACTTTTTTAATTATAATATTAAAAAAGTATAATAGTTAAAGGATTTAAAAAAAATAAAATATAAAGTAAAAATAGTTTTAATATATAAATAATTAAATTATAATAATAACTTTTTATTTTATTTTATATTTTTATTAATATTTTTATGTTTTATTTCTTTAATAGGATTAATTAATATATATACCTTTTAATCCTTATAGGAATTAGTAAAGGTTTATTGAACAATTTTTAAATAAATTTAATAAATAATTTTAATTAATAAAGCTTTAAACTTTTTATTAATAATTTTTAAAAGGTTATCCTTTAAAAAATTAATACTTTTTTAAAAAGGTAATATTTTTATTAAATATAATATTTTTAATTATAATAATTTTATTAACTTTTAATAATTAAATATAATAAATAATAAATAATAAATAATTAATATTTAATTAAATATTTTATTTAAGCTTTTAAATTTAATTTTCTTTTTTTTATTTATTTTTAATTATATTATAAACATTATAATAAATACTTTATATTTATAAACTTTTAAATATAATAGGGTAAGTATTTTATTTTATTTAATAATATTATTTTATATTTAAAAGTAAATATAAAACTTTTTATATAAAGTTTTTTAATTATAAATATATTTAAATATATAATTATATAAGTATATAATAGCCTTTATAATTTTTATTTATAAATAAATTAATAATTTTAATCTATTTTTTATAAACCTTACCTTTTTTTTAATTATACTTTTTAACCTTTTAATACTTTTATTAAATATTTAAATATTAAAAAGAAAAACTTTAAAAGTAATTTCTTTAATTATATAAAAATATTAAATAAATTAAATGGTATCCTTTATATTTATAATTAATTTATTATTATATTTTATTATTAATACTTTAGTTTTATAATAATTTTTTATATATTTAATTAAATAGGTAAATATAATTTTAATTAATAAATATATTTAATTATATAAATGATAATTAAAGGTAAAGTTAAAAAATTAATTAATAATAAATATTATATATTATTTTTTATTATTATTCTTTTAAAAGTTTTTATAATTATAGAAATTAATTATTAATTATATATTAATAGCTATAGGTTTTTTTTATAATTATTTATTAATTTAATATTGAATTTTAAATATTTTATATATATTATATTAGGTAATTTTTATTTTATTACTTTTATTAAAAGTTTAATAAATCTTTACCTTTTAAAATAAAGTTATTAAATATTATATTACTTTAAATTTTAAATAACCTATTTAAAGGTATTATTTAAATAAATCTTTTTATAAAATTAACTTTTTTATATATAAATTAAACTTATTTTATTATATATAAAAGGTTAATTTTTTAAAAAATAATAATAAATATTTTAAAATAAATTAATTAAATTAATTTTATAAATAATATAAAATTAATTTACTTTTTTTATTATAATAGGTTTATAAATAGTTTATTATTTTATTAATATTTTAATTAATTAAAGATTTAAAGGGATATTAAATTAATTATTATAATAAAATAAAATGCTATATTATATAGTTAAAAGATTTTTAATCCTTTTAATCCTTAAATATAAATATTAACTTTTTTAAAATTTTAAATAAATATAATTTTATTTTTAATATATATTATATTATTTAAATTAACTTTTTTAAAGTTTAAAAATTTATTAATTTTATTAAAAATATATATTATAATATTTAAATTTAATATTATTAAATTTTTTAATTAATATATTAATTAATTTTTATTTTTAATAATAAATATAATTTAAATTAAATTTTTTAAAAGTTAATTAATATTTAAGTTAATTTCTTTTTATTTTATTCTTTTCTTTTAAATTTATTTAATTTCCTTAATAAGTTTTAAGTTAAATTTAAATAATTATAAAACTATTCTTTAAATTATTTTATTAAATATAAAATCTTTATTTATTAATTTTAAAAAGGTATATTAATATTTATTTAATAAATAATTTTAAATATATAGCTTATAATTTATATTTTTTATATTAATATTTATTTTAAAATATTTATTTTTAATATTATTATTATATTTTTATAGTTTTTTATTATAATTATAATTACTTTAACCTTTACTTTAACCTATTAACTTTTAATAATTAAAAACTTCTTTTACTTTAATTATTTTATTTATTTTTTTAATATTCCTAAAGGTATAAAAGCTTTCTTTATAAGGATTTTTCTTTATTAATTTATTTTAAATTAATAGTTGAATATATATTTTATTATATAGGTTTATTATAATTATAATATAATTTAATATTTTATTTTTAATTTTTTATTAATTAATTTATTAAAAAGCTATTATTTATTTTAAATAACTTCCTTTTAATACTTTTTTTAAATTAATAATTAAATTATATAATTTTATAATATTTATTATTTTATATTTAATTATTAAAGTTAGCTTTTTTTTTTATTTAATTATTTATATTTTTAAATTTTTTAATAATTATTTTATATTATTATTAATAAAAGATTTATAATTAAGTTTTATTTAATATATTAAACTTCCTTTTAAATATATTTTAATAATATATAATTTATTATATTATATATTAAATATTTTTATTAACTTTAATAATATATCTTTATAATTTTAAAATATTATATTAAAGATTTAATTTTTTAATTAATTTATAATTTTAATTTAATTAATATATTTATATATTTTTATATTATAATTATTTAAATTAATATTATATATAGTTTATTTAAAAGTAATTATTTTAATTATATTTTAAAAAGGTTTTAGGTTAATAATTTTATAATTTATAATTAATAAAAACTTTATAAAAGATATTAATATATATATTACCTTTAAATAATTTTTAACTTTAAATATTATAAATTATTTTAATTATAATATTTTTATATTTAACTTTAAAGTAATATAATCCTATAAATTTAAACTAATTATTTTACTTTTAAGTTTTTAATTTTAAATATAAAAGTTATTTAAATATTTTAATATAATCTTTATATTTTAATTAATTAGTTTATATATATTAATTATTTAATTAAATTAATAGTTTATTTAATAATAGTTTAAAATAATAATAAAACTTTTAATTGTTAAATATAAATAATAGTATATAAAATTTAATATATTAATTGATTGATCTTGTTGTTATTAGTGTAACGTGTTTGCTACGCCGAGATTATACGAGGGTCCTTATCTCCTGGATATGGGTCTACCCTAAGGTCCCTGTTTACCTAATATCCTGGCTTAAGATACAACCCCTTATATTTGACAATTAATGAATATGACTAAGTTCCAAGCCCTCTATAAGAGCCCTTGTCATAGGTAGGCAAAACCTACATGATCCGCCACCGCGCTTCAGGCAAGGCCATTAGTCTCAAAAATGGATCCTTGCGCCTAAGAGAAGATACCAACCCGCATTGTATGTACTACTGGAAGTGCGAGCAAACCTGGGGCTGGTATGGATTCAGAGACACTGCTTCAGGGAATCTTCTCGGCCGAGATGGCGTCTTCGGTTTTCGCGCCACTCAGAAACTTCACATGCCCTGGGAATGGTTCATGGTTTCCGGTCACAAGAACGAGGGATTTCATCTCCGAACGCCTCATTGGCTTTCACTCAGATGGGTAGGCATTGGCGCAGATGGTAAAACCTTGGTCGACGCGACATCCGACGACGAAGCTGCAGTTTGGGAATTCGTCGAGGTGTGAATAGCCTCGGCAAGGCAGTCAACGCAGGCAGATTTAGGGTCTACATGGATTAATTGCCATACTCGGTTGGCTGGGCGGCGGATTGAGATGTTTGGGTTGATGGAGTCCTGGCAAACATTACCCTGCCTTGCGTTTGCTCAAGGAAATTACCCACAAAAGCAATCGACCTAGTCGGTCCATTGAAGGTTGTGTACAATACGTAACTCCATGGTACCTCAATTTCGTGCTCTTCCACAACGACTTTGATTGCAGCCTGGATTGGCGGTGCTTAGCAGCGGGTTGGGTAGTCACAACCCCAAGTGCTTCGCCTACCAATACCTATATCGTCCTTTCGTAGCACAAGGATCGCGATTTCGGTAAAAGCAGAGGCACACAGCCGACGGTTGTGGCCAGTAGATTTGTGGCTTACACGATATCGGTGTTTAAATCAGCCGGGCACGGCCCTGCCATCTCTCACTGGACTACCTCTAACCTATCATATTTCAACGAATTGATCAGAGGAGGAGCTCGGCCACCCATTGGCGGCCTCACCCAACGTTCTGTCTTGCTATCCATGTTTGCTAAGGTTTCCATACATCTGTTACTCTCCCTTGATCCTCCACTTAATATATCTGGCTTCATGTCCTGAACATCTACCCATCGTGAAACTATACGCAATCGCAACGCTTGGGACAAGCCTGCTCCCGCTCCTGTTCGCACAATGGAAAGCAACCAACTCGTTGAAGAAGTCGTACACGATATTTCCGAAATGGACATTACTACGACCAGCTCGTCGGCTTTGTCACCGGAACACATCAACAGTGTCCCCGAAACGAGGAAAATCTTCTCCCGCTATCAATCGCCTGATCTTTCATCGATCATCTCGCTCCGCTCCCAGACCGAGTCATTGATAGAATCAGTGGATTGGGAGGCCCTAAGAGAATATGCAGCCGCGAAACGAAGGGGGATCGACTGCTCTCTCTTTCCGAACATCGGGTATGTCTACGGCCACAAGGCCAGAATTATCGAGTTTACGGATGGAGTTCAATGGCTTGCACAACTACGCCTGCCCAGTCTCTACGGACGCTACTCCTCTGGAGATAGTATCAAGACAAATATGGAATGTGAATTTCACACAGTTTCCCTTCTACGACAGCGAACAAGCCTGCCTATTCCTGAAATACACGCCTACGATACTCGAAGTGACTGCTGCGTCAAGGCCCCATTCATCTTGATGGATTGGGTGGAGGGCAGTGACAGCAACGAGATATCAGAGGAGGATATTCCATATCGGTATAAGCAAACCTTGTTGAGCGGCCTCGCTAAGATCCATGTAAGCAAGATGTTAGCATCCAAGTGCACATAGTTCGCTGACTTGTTTTACTCGTCGCTAGGTCCAGCTGTCTAAGGTCCTACTACCCCAGATTGGCACGATAGTATCCTTGAACGCTGATGGCACGTGCCAGCAAGGTCCAATCCCCGGGCTGGGTGGTCCATTCAACACAGCAACCGAGTTCTTCCGAGCGTGGGCGGCGAAAGTCAAAGCTGGATTGCCGGAGGATAGGCGAGAGATAGCAGAAGGTCGAAACGCGGCTGAGATAATCTCCTCGGTCTTATCGTTTCCCGAATCAATCAGCCGACTTGCTGATCGGCTCTCTGTTCTCGACTCCGGTCCATTTCCTCTCTGTCACGGCAGCTTTAGCCACCACAACCTCATTATCGATGACGCCTGGCAAATTCTTGGCGTAATTGGCTGGGATACTGCATTTGCAGGACCGTGGGAGATCTTTGGGGATTTTCCCTTGAGTTTCTCACCAATGCCGCGTGCCATGGACTTCCCCCACAACTATACAGAGGACGGCGTTCACAAGAACCGTTACATCACCCAGCGGCTTATGGATCAGGAGAATTACGTAGTAGCAGTAGAACGGGAGGAGAATCAAAATGGAGGAACACCCCACCGTCTAGCAGACACTTTGAGAGACTCGAAAAGACAACAGTTAGCAACTGCAATGAGATTGTATGAGAAAGGAACACGCGGATTTTATGAAAACTTGATTCACGAGTTTGAATTATCCGAGGAGTCTCAAACACACAATCTTGTTCCAACGCAGCTGGCTTAACGGACAAATGGCATGGCGAGAGTGGTCAGGTGGCTGGACTGAATGCCGGTGATGCTTGGAAAAGAGCGAATCGTGGATAAGACGGGGTAGGATATAGGAGGAGATAGAGTTATAATGACATGTTCACAGGTTCGGATGTGGTTGTATGGGGGGGTTCGTGTGATGCACGGTCTATCTGCAGCGGGCATGCCTTGCCCTAATTAGGGGTGACCACCCCTCAATGGGTCATCAACACATCACAGCATCCTCTAGATTTCACCTTCGCGAAAGACTTCTGAAACTAGTGTAATCAATTATAAAGGACGTGCTATCTAGTTGAACGAGTGTAAGCGAGACATTTTCTCAAGACACGAAAGACAACCTGTCATTCAATCTCGAGCTCTCAAGTAGCAGCGCTGCGGAACCGATTCAAGCACTCGCTCACCGAGGTGGCAATGGACGTGTCACCCTGAAGGTCCCGGGAGCCGCCCCAAAAATGCATTCAAGGAACCATTCTCCGAAGCGCGAGGGTCGTTTCGTCATCATGAGGGGTGCAGCTTGCTGTGTCGTAGAGGATAGCTTGCTCGGCACCCAATAGGGACCCAGCCCTCTACTGCCCTAGGAGGTCTATTGCTCTTCTTCCCAGAGGATGCCTTGCTTGCATTATCGTTACCCCCAGACACAGGGGAGCGTGACGGGATTTGTTGGGATCGACGTGCATTAACTCCTTCCCTTTTCCCTTTGACGAACGTGACGAGCCCGACATCCTGAATCCCAACAAAGGAAAGTAGCAGTGTTTTAAGTGAGTGATACACGCTCTTCAAGGGAGCAGAGATTGTATTATCTTTTGTCGATGAATTGCTTTGATGAAATTTGAAACTTTAGCTCTACTGGTTTTCCAGCAAATCTTGTATCTCAATGGCTTCGGGGGCTACTGTCGCCGTCAGGGTCCTGCTTAACCCGCAAGCATCCACGTGAGTAATTGAGACCATGGCTCTGGCTTCGGGGGAGGTGCAGCCTGCCTTGTGCCGGGGCGTGGACTGCTCAGCGGGCGATCAGAGTATGTTTTGCTTTGCGCTTTAGAAGACTTGCTGCCCTTCTTCCCAGAGGAGGATTTGCTTGCGGTGTCGTTACCCTGGCTCGCTGGGGAACATTCATACACCCCCTGGGGACGTGCACTAGCTCTTTCCCCTTTCCCTTCGACGAGTGTGAGGAATGTGAGTTGTGGGGTTAATGTGATGACTCAGGCATCCAGAATCCCGACAGATGGATATAAAAGTGTTATAAGTGAATGATACTCAATGGATGAGCTAGTGGAGGCTGTGTTGTATGGTAGGTGCTTCGGAATTCCAATCGTTCCAATCTTCGAACACCTGACTAAAAGTTTGTCGCGATATTTGGTTTCTCCTTCCTCTTAAAGAACGAGCACTTCTTCTTCGAAGATGAGCTACTCGCAGTATCAGTGCTCTCGTCGGTCACAGAGGGAGATGGCCTTGGTTTCGAGAGCTTGACGCGTGGTTTTTCCTCCTTATCCGCTTTCTTCGACACTTCCGGCATGCGGGAAAATGCAAAAATGAAAGTGATGCTGGTTTCTTTTTTCTTTTTTTTTATGAGTGATGATAGATGTGTGAATCGATAGAGATTTTGTTGCCTAGGTTTATCGCTATTTCCTTTGGAGATTCAGCACGAAGTCCAATGACTTAAACCTGCCTCTGTCCTATAGTTTCAGCGTACTTGTCTCCGATGGGTTTCTTGCCCTTGAACCACGGTTGGCTCTTCTTCGTACCAGCATTCGCGATAGGTGCGTTAGGGTCGCGCACGGGGTAAGAAGGCTGGGGCTTCTTTGGCTTTTTATATTTTTCTTCTTTTGGCTTCCACTCAAGTGGCATTTTTATTCTTGAGCAAGTAGTAACAGGTGTATCTATGTGTGGTTCAGGGTGAGTATTTGGATTTATAGGAAAAGAGAATCACCGTCTTTCCGAGATCCAGAGTCTTTATATCCCCTCTTGGTCGTACCAGACGTGGCGTGGCTCCTCCTGTCATGTTTAGTTTATAACAGTATCACCTCGTTGTACACAGCAGTGATGATATGACAAGATGTAGCACATCCCTCTATAATCGTCCTTGTGACCTTAGACATATCACTGCTCGTCACTCCCTTACCTTAACTGTCAGAAGGAGTGGGTGCATATACGTAGGGTAGGCCATATGAGTTGTATTCAGGATAATCAGAAGATAATTAAACTAGAAGTCTGAAGACCTGAAGGATACTGGTGATACTTGTAGTCAGAGGTTAGAGTGTATATTCCACCGCACAATTACTGACAACAACCAGGCGTAGTTCCTATCAGCGATAGTTTGGAATATAGAAGTTTATTTCATACTTTCACTCGTCTCCCTCTAAGAATATATCTCTTGTGATATACCTGTCTGTTTCTCGCCGATCCTCGGGGAGGATTCCGAGCAGGCGCTGACTTGACGGACGCACCATAGAAGCTTCACCTGCCCCAGAAAATCATGGTCATGTCGCCCCAGACAAGGGATATAACAGGCTGTTTTCAAAGCTACAAGGGGCAAACAGTCCGGTCAGCCGGTGCACAACTGTACAATGGAAATAAGTAGGTAGCTTGTGACGTGATTCCGTGATCGTGATTGCGATACTTGGCATCCTTAAGGGATTCAGGGTGTACTATCTACCGTGCCTGGTACGCAACGCAAAGAGAACACCAGCAGCATTCTGTCCGCTACGCAGGGCTCTCTTCTCCCTGTGCATCACACTAAGGGAGATGGACTCACATACGTACGCAGCCTCTCACATGACCATTTGACAATAGCGCAATAACTATTTTCCACTTCGACTCGGAGTGACTTAGGGCGAAGCCGTCGACCATGAAGTCCAAGTCATCGGCAGGTGACCATACGTCAGGAAAGCTATCGTGAGGTCCAAAAAAAGCGACCTACTGTGTACATGGCCTCACCCTAGGCCGCAAAGATTTTAAGTGTCAAAAGTAGTACATATAATCCCATTAGATTATCTAAAAGTCTAAATTACAATACAGTCATCTAACTAAATAAAGGTCTTATATACAAATTCCTAGCATTCTAATATATGGAACGTAAATATTACCGCCTTCCCTTTTTAATATTCCCTTTCGATCCTTATATTAATTAATGCTATAAATTTTAATCGATTCCTTTTTAAAGGTAGCTCCCTTTAAGGTAAGTTAAATAGTTATATTGGATAATATAAAAGTAATGTTTTAAGAAACACCTATTAAAATAAAATAAATAAGGTAAAACTTTTTTAAAAGTTAAATTATTTATAGCTATTAAAATAGTAAATAGAAGTAATATTAAGTTTTTTAAAATAGGATATTATAAAGGGTAAAAATTTTATTAATATTACTTTTAAATTATTATTTATAATATAAAGCTTTTAAAATTAAAGTATTATAATATATAATAGCTATAATATATTATATATTTATTATTTTTATATAAATGTAAATATTTTTATAAGTATCCTTTTTTTTTTTTTTTTTATATTATTTATATATATTTTTATAATTACTTTTTTTAATAATTAATATTTTTATTAAGGTATAAATTATAAATTATAAATAACTTATAATTTATAAGTTTTAAGTTTTTAAAAAGGGTATATTATTTATTTTATATTATATTTTAATTCTTTTTATAAAGT